ATATATATATATATATATATGTATGAACAAACTAAGATATACAAAATTTTCTTACCTTTTGAAAGTGAATAGCCAATTGTATAATTGTTTGCTTCATTATCCACTGCCTTTACTTCATTCGGAAAGATTGATATTTGACCCTGTAAGAATGCGTTAACACAAATAAACACAATATCGTGAAGTTTTATTAATTTTATTTTTATTTTATTTTTATTTTAAAATTATCTTATTTTAAATTTATTTTTATTTTTAAATTATTTTATTTTTATTTTTAAATTATTAATTAGCAATTAATTGTTAAAATTATTAATTTTATTTTAATTTTCTTCATAGCAAATATTTCAGTAGTTATGCATATCAACACAAAATCTACTTAGCATTTTCATATCGAGTTACATGGCATTACTTCTTTAATGATAGATCTATAGAAACAGCGGTACGGTTGTGTAATCGATAACGGTTCGGTTGAGAGCCGAGTTCGAATTATTGTCGAGTTCAATATATTCACTTAATTGCCTTGGAAAAGATACGAAACCATTCCTTCTCCCTGCAGCTATAGGTTAAATGGGAGGACTGTATCCATAGGTGGCAACATGTCTAAGAGAAGGAAAACTTTGAATTTAAAACCTGACGAGGTTTTGCTTGGAGACTTGTCTAGACCCCTGAAGATATGGGTAATCGGAGTGAGAAAGCTTTGGATTTGGCTGATACATGGTACCTTCTTTTAAAGGTCCCGGCTAAATCATTAGAAAAAACATAACTCTTACTTTGTCAGCTGCCTTTATTTGTGCATGATATAAAACAGGTATTTGGCACAGGGGGTCCGCAGTTGCGCACGGGTTTGGTAGGAATGATGGGCCAAATTCATCCACATCTTTGATATTAATGATTAATTTGGCTGAAGTCTGGTTACCTCCTGAATCCTGTCGGTGATTAACAAAAATCATAATATATACGACAAAGAAATGACACTCACTTTCACATGCTGTTAGATAGCTGAAGAAATAAAAGGTGTTCCAATAACTTGGACCGATTTTAAATGTGAATTAAGTTTAAGCGTCTAATTATATTTTTCTTTTTCTTTCAGATTTGGCGGACATTTGGGCGATATTATTTTTCACACATAATCGCCATGACTTAAATAACATGATCCAATAGAGAAATAAATAAATTTTCATAAATAACAGTGATTTAGTTACTGCTGAATTTGATTCCTCTTAATGAAACACCCTTATATATAATCCGTCTTAATGAAACACCCTTTATTACTCCAACTGCTATTGTGATGTCGCAAGTTAAATGTTGGTGTTTCTTTAAAATTTTTGCACGCACAAATCAACACACTTAATACCAATACGGAAAGAACGAATGAGATTTTTGAATAACTTACTTTTATGACAATTCTAATAATATATTTATTCTGTTCTTCATAATCCAAATAACTATTGACAACAATTAAACCTGTTTTGTAATCAGTCATATTGAATTTTCCTGAAGCAATTCCATCCAATCGGTTCTGGAGAATGAAAGAAAAAAACAAAATTACGGTGAAGTTAATATTTCAAAGAAATATTTTATTGGATAACTGAATGAAAAAAAAAATTATATATGCAATATGACTCACCCCAAACGGTGACAAAATAGACTTTGCACTCAGTATCCATTAGATAAAGCCAGGTGCATCAGCAGGTTGACCTAAAACATAACCTCCCAGCTGCCAGGTGCAGAGCCGCCCTTCACCCGATATCAGTAGCTGACCCGACATGTAAATACGTAGTTGATCCAGCTGCGTCTGAGATGTTCACGTGTGAACAAAATCATGTAACGGTCAGTTATATAAACACCCACCCAGCGGGAAGAGAATGATAACGAGAATAGGTTCACGTTCGGGGAGTGCCTCGTGAGCCAACCTACACACTGATGACGTCCGTAGTTAAGTAAACAACGTAATGTTCCATATGGGATAGTGTCTCATCTGTCTATATTTCTGAGATGACGTATTATGTACAATATTTACATTATTCGGACTCTTGTCCTCATCTTTGTTGCCATATTTATCACAATGTTTCGGCCGTTGTACGCTCCAACCTTCTTCAGGTGGTTGGAATGTCGAACTGAACCCTTTATTTCGCTCACTGGGGTAAACTGTAACACGAGGGGAAGTGGAAAAATCAGGCGTGGCTGACCACATATGGAGAGAAAAAGGAGATCACCGCCCTCTGTGGAATCAGGCTGAAATCATAGACAAAGAACATCATTGGAAAATTCGTAAACTTAAGGAATCAGTACATATGCTAGGCCACAAAAATCACCTGAGCTGACCAAGCATAGAAATGAATACAATATGGGAACCAGTAATAAGGAGTCCCAGAGAAAAGCAATAATAACAACGAAAATTGCAATATGAGCACTAGTAAAAATAAAAATGCAATGATAACAGCAACAATTGCTATATGAGCACTGGTAAAAATGGTTGCTGAAGATATTAAGTTTATAAATCCCAGAAATTCATACACAAATGTCCTTAAGGACTCATGGCATAGTGGATAAAGGCGTTGACAGGACCCAAAAAGATGTGATTTCAATACGCGGATAACTTGGAGAGCGGAATTAACAGGAGATAAATGATAACTGACATCCATTAGACACGTGGAACTAGAACAGTCTACCTAGTGAAATAATGGGTTCAGTCCGACATTCCAACCACCTGAAGAAGGCCAGAGCGTACAACGGCCGAAATGTTGTGATAAATATGGCAACAAAGATGAGGACAATAGTCTGAATAATGTAAATAGTGTATAGTGCCTCATGTTTATTATTAGTCTGTTGGTACGAAAATAACGTTATAATATTTCAGGACACTGTGTTTTGTTTATTAGCAGCTTATTGTTTAGAAAAATCTCAAGTCCTTACGAGTACAACATACAATAAGTTTCATTACTGTTCGATTAAAATTATCCTCATGATGAAAGAATTAGTATGAAGTTAAGACTTCGTTGTCGTTGGCAGAACTCATTGTCGAATACTAAGGGTGCTCATCAACATTTCCTGCCGTGCGAGTCCTATGTTGGATATGAAGAGACGTCCACAGCCACCGCATGGTAAGGTAGCAGGGTTTAGTGGATGGAGAGCTCTGGCTTTTCTTTGGTTTCCCTTTAGTTTCTATTCGTCTCTTCTATTTCTCTTCTGGTGTTTTCGAAGAATGATGTTTTTTTTTAGGGTTTTTTTTCATGGACCACTCTTCTGCAATTGGTTCTTTCCGCAGCCTCCGTCTTCCAATTGACCGGATCGATTTCTCTCCTCAACAAGGTGTTTTTTATCTGATCCTTGAGTCGACGACGTGGGGCTCTTGCCAGATGGAGTATCAGCTAGTGGGAGAAGAACAGGGAGGAGGAGGAGCACGAGCGAAAGAAAAACCGCTACAAATCGCTGCGATCAGACTGCGTGGAAAAAGGGGTAGATGCCTTAAGCGGTCGATCAATTCCTTTCTTTTGAAGGTGGTCATCACTAGCCGGAGCCTGAAACGTGCTTCACATCGCCCCCAGACTACTATCTTGTATGTTCTTGTCTTATATAAATTTCTAAGCACATATAAATATCAAGTGAAACAGATCACGCTTTCACACCAAAAAGCTATTCGCAAAAAAATTACTATTGGTTGGAGATATGACAGCATTGAATTGGCATCGAGATCTCATCAATTTAGAGTTAAGCAGGCTAAATGTAACCATGAATGTTATGCTAACAATTTTTTCTCGTACTTCTCACTTGTGTAACTCCCTTCCGGCTCCATACTTTCCAGGTAACTTTAATATGCAAAAGTTTAAATGCAATGTCAATCGCTATCTTGTGTCCTCCTGATAATTCTTCTTTTGTTCTCACTCTTAATTAATGTTTTTGTTTCTAACTCTTGCACACTCTGTAACCCCTTGTGTCTTAGTGGCTTTACTGCCTTACATGGGGTGATACCGATTAAAAAAAAATAAAGTAATACGTGTGCAAAAAAGGAGATTTTACTAATTTTTAATATGGAGTTAGATAAAATTTTAGATTTCACAATTACATTAGAGTAGCTAGTTAGAAAATAAATACAACAACAGAATGACTATAATTCAACATTATATCACACAGCTATAGGTATGGTTTATTTCAATTGTTTTGGTTATACTAAATAAATGTTTATCTGTAGAAATCTGCGGTTATGTCTCGAAACACACCCTATTCTCTCTGTTTCTTGATGCGAATTTCGAGTTAAACTTATGACAAATTGATTAACTTAATATAACAAATTGTTTATTTTAAAATTGTTAAACTTAGTATAACAAATTGTTTTTTGTTTTTTTTTTTTGTTTTGTTTTTTCTTTTAAGAGACAGGTTTCGGAGAAATATTTTCCAGCTACAATTTATCACATTTTCTTATCACAAATCCTATATTTTGCATGTTGACTTCCTCCTTGTCAACTCATTCATTTCTTGTTATCAGTAGAGAAGATCACAGCAGAGAAGCTTTTGATTGGTTGGATATTAACCCTTCTTGGATTATTTAATGTCGAATGTTAACCACTAACGATTGAGCGTACGGCGGAGTAATGGATTGAGGAATCGTAGAGTCGAGTTCGAATTCGCGCCAAATGCATTTCCTTCACTTACCTTGGGAAATATATGAATTCGTCTCTTTCCCCCAGATATAAGTTGAATAGCAGCGCAGACATAGTTCTAGAGCGTAGGAGAAGGAAAACTGAATTCAAACCGCCTACTGCCATTTTAGGTCTTGCCTCTTTAACTTCTGGGAGGGGAGATGGGTTAACCTCAACATCACCAGTGCAAAAGAAAGCTACAAGCCTTTGCACTATTTTACTTGAATGTCATCATGAACCACAACTGTGTGATGGAAGGGAGTGGTGACCACAGTGGAGGTTCAAAATGTACTAACTAAAAGAGCATAGCATGAAGAAAAAGACGCCAAACTTGACGAAAACAAAATTTTATCGTCTAAATGTTTATGTTATTATTAAGAGGAAAGATCAAAGTATTTTGGAGGTATTTTTTTTTTACATTTTTTAATCGTTCCTAGCACGTCCGAAATTTTCGTTAAAAATTTTGTATTTTTGAGTCAGCAAAATTGACCATTTTTTCCGATTTTATAAAAAACTGAAAATCTCCTTTTGAAATTCTTTTAAATATCAATTATTATTTTTTAAAAACTTATTTTAAGAAAATCAGAAATTATAATGTTTATTTAAAACATTTTGAACCAAACTTAACTTAGCTTCTGCGCCGAAAAGATGTATTGTAATTTGAAAATAAAACAAAGCAGGTCATAAACTTTCGCGTTACTTGACAGGTGATGAATGACATATTGACGGATTCCGTGAGGATAATTTGTTCTACAGAAGGAGAAAAGTGAAATTATTTACATTTAAGTGAACAAATTATTTACCTCGTTATTTTTAAGGAAAACTTTCAGAGCTCTATTTTTTGTTTTTTGTACTTAGCTTTCACCTTTACGTTTACGATGCTTTATGGAAAATATATTATAAAGAAATTAAAATAAAGACTATTAAAAGTGAGATTAAATTTCATATTTCATAAGAAAAGTATCTAATAAATTTATAGGTACCTTTCTTATGAAATTTTATCAGAAGTGTACATAAAATACTGTAATTTTATGTACATTTATTATATTTTACTGTGTTATTTGTATTTCCAAACATTTTATTATTAATTTTGATATTTCTTTTATGAAAAAATGTCATAACTGAAATTGATATAAAAATAAGATCATAAGATGATACTAATACTTGTAGGTACCCTTCTCAGTTGAAATTGAAAAATCAAATTAACTTCTCCACACGTGTTTCGCAAAAGTAAAGGCCTTAACAGCGGAGAACAATGCTTAACTCAAATAACGGAACTTAATTGTATTCTGGTTGGTCTTCCGTACTTTATAATTACAGCCCGATTATAAACAAAAAATTACATTTCTTAATTACTGCGGATCTTCTGATTATTCAAAATGATACAATTTACAACGCGCTAAAAAAGATCTATGTCATAAAGACACTTAGGAAACCCGATGCGGCTTTTAACTAATTTTATAATATTTTAACAACTTAAATATAAAAATCTATTATAATTAAAGAAATAACAAATAATTGTATTAAAAATTCATTTTTCATCGAAAAATTTTTTGCTTTCAGAAAATATTGTCCATATACATAAAAACAACTAAAAGCAAATAAAAGCATTTGAAATTAAATAATATCTTTGTTTTATTGAGTTTTGTGTGTTACAATTCAAAGCTGATTTTCAGGTAGGAGGGTCCAATTAAAAAAAAAATCATGATTTGCATTTCTCAAAAACTTGTGCTTTTAACTATTGTAATCACTAAACCCGATGCGATCGAATTTCTAGCGTTTTCATAAAATTAGTTATGGTGGGGGTAATAAATATTAAAAAAATATTTCTGCCATGATTTTAATAATAAAAAAAAACATATTTATAATAATTTCGATCATCTGTGAATAGTTTCTGAAAGTTTCATTAACATCCGACAATTATTTTTATTTTTGCAAGATTTTTCAAATTAAAAAAACAAAACGTGCTAAAAATTGTATATGTTATTTTACTAGTTCCGGTGCTATAAATAGAAACAAGTTTTTTTTTATCAAAATTTAGAATGTTCTAAAAAGAAGAAAAATTTTTTAAAATAATTAAAATAAACTTTGATCTGTCCTCTTAATAATAATGTAAAAATTTAGACGATAAAAATTTGTTTTCGACAAATTTGGCGTCTTTTTCATCATGCTATGCTCATTTTTTAGCGATCTCGTGGAGGTACCTATAACTGAATAAATGAACTAATAATAGTCCTACCTATTATTGCCTGTTTACATCTGCCTTTTTTGTGGTACTTGTTCTATCGATTTGTTCAGACATTTCAAAGTCGGTTATTCGCTGCTTTTCTTTGTTTCTCCTGCTTTGGACGTGACCTGCGCGTATTAAATTCTCCATTCTGTCTTTCTTTATGTTGTCTCCTAGTATTTTTACTTTTCTAATTCTGATTGGTAGCAACTTTTTCTTTGTAGTGCACAGCCTCCCATATACCATTGCCAGTCTAAGAGAAGGAAAAGTCTGAACTCGAATCGCCAGCTGCCTTGTAGGTCTTGCCTCTTTAACTTCTGAGAGTGGGGTTGGGGTAACCTCAATATCTCCGATGCAAAAAGAACCGGCAGCTATTGCACTCTTCTGCATTGATTGTCCTCATGAATCACAATTGAGAAATGAAGGGGAGCGGTGATCACAGCGGCGCATTTAGTTATTTTATTTTATAGTCCAAGACATTTCAGGATGTGGGTGATCATGGCTCTTCACAACTTCCTCTCTTTTGTTGCTTTAAGTAATTGCTTAACTTCTTTTTTCCACTTCTCCTACCCATTCAGACAAACTATTTCGATTTGTAACTCGCTGTTACTCTCTGCTCCCCTCACCTTCAGTATTACCTGAGCGTGTTATATTCATGGGGAGAGATGGCTTTATCTCTCCCCATAATGTGTCTCAGAGATTTTAGCGGTCTTTTTCTGATTGTCAGTATAAATTCCTTTGTTGCTTCTCTTATCCATAGCAATAATGCAAACATAACACGTGGCATTTTCTCAATTTTTCACCCCACGAACGCGAAAAGAAAAAGCAAAGAAAAGAGACAGTGAAAAAAAAAAAAAAAGAAAAGACACGGGGTAAAAAGAAAGAAAAAACAGTGAAAAAAAGGAAAAAGAAAGAAAAGTCACAGGATAAAAAAAGAAAGAAAAGATACAGTGAAAAAAAAAAGTAAAAAGAAAGAAAAGTCACAGGACAAAAAAGAAAGAAAGAAAAGATACAGTGAAAAAAGGAAAAAGAAAGAAAAGTCACAGGATAAAAAAAAAGAAAGAAAAGATACAGTGAAAAAAAGGAAAAAGAAAGAAAAGTCACAGGATAAAAAAGAAAGAAAGAAAAGAAACAGTGAAAAAAAGGAAAAAGAAAGAAAAGTCACAGGATAAAAAAGAAAGAAAAGATACAGTGAAAAAAGAAAAAATGAAAAGACAGTATTTGAAAAATATTTTGACAGTTGGTCTTTTTCAAGTTATATTTTCTTTAAATTTACAAGTATAAAAATATACAAATTTACAAAAGTTAAAAGTCTGTGCAAATGTTTGTCTTGAGAAAAACGGCCATACTGGTAACCAACGCGTCAAAAGGAAACACAGCTAGCGTGAATGACATGCAACTGAAATGCGCGTAATATGATGGTGATCATGACGCATCTTGGAATTTTGCGTTTGATAATCAATCACTAGGTGGAGAGCATTTTTATTATTATTGCTAAAAATAGTAAACCAATAGTAAAAAGGTAAACAAAATAAAATAACGTTTCGACTCGAAACGCTTTTCCTACAAATTTGAAAATATTTTCTCGTCAATAAAAAAAAGTTATGTTACTACAATCAATAAACAAGAAAAGAATAAAGTTATCGGTTAATGTTGTTTAAAATGTTTGAACGATAACTGATAGGGAAAGAAATCGACGATACTGAACCAATAGTCAGCAACAAACAAAACAAACATTATGACTCAACTTTCCCTCAAAAGAAGAAATCCAACAGTCCGTGAACAAGTTTCCTATAGCCTACTATTGTTTTGGCATTACAATAAACATGCAGCAAACCAAGATCCTTACACAACCACCCCCTTATACCATCTTACCAAATCTTGATATTACCATCTCTGATACATCTTCTGAACAAGTACAGCACTTCCATATCTAGGCAGCCTTTTATCAAACAAGTGTCATGCGAGTGTATTAATAAGGCATTATCAATGGAGTACTGGCATGCCTTACCCTAGAAGTTTTAGAATCTGGCCAATCTTTTCAGCGTATTCTCCCAGAAATAGCAATATGTTTCCGGTAATCTGGCGTTGCCCTATTAATACACTCACATGACAAAAAAACTACCAGAACTTGTTGATATACTAAATAGGATAGAACACACAATGAATTTCACCTACGAAGCAATACAAAACTACATCTTACCACATCTTATAATACGTACATATAAGGATCTTCAACTGAAACTTAATTCTGGATATGACGATAAACTACATCCGGCAGCAAACCCTCTGATTGGGAGATTGAATGTTTTGATGAGCGTAGAACCACCACTTAATTGCAGTTGTTTCCAGGTCCACCCTCACCCGGGGTGGCAGCAACTGTTATTGTCCTAGCTATGGCCAAATAGTTAACCCCTAAATATAAGTAAAACACTAGGAAAATATACAAATACATGTTATAGTAAAAATACAAGCAATACTTTTTATGGAAAAAATTACCAATAATACATATTTATAGTAAAATTACCAACAATACATTTGTAAATAAAACTGACCATCAATTCATTTTATCTTAGAATTACCAACAATACATTTTATAGCAAAATGACCAACAATACAATATCTGGCATCTCGTCTACAGTCGCTCTCTCACAGACGTGCCGTCGCTTCCCTCTGTCTTTTCTACAAATATTTTCACGGTAACTGCTCTGACTCTCGCTAGTTCCCAAACTGCATGAATTTAAACGTGCTACCAGGTCGGCGTCTGAATCCCACTCGAAACGGTTAAATGTAGCCGTCTCTTCTATTCCCATAGCTTCATGACTAGCACTTCCCGTTTGTGAAACTCCCTTCCTCTTACTTGTTTCCTGATAGCTATAATCTCCAACTATTCGAATGCAAAATCAATCGACATCTCCAGATGCCTTGATCTATTTCCCGTCCTTCTCTTCATCCTTTCCTCTTTCACGTCTGTTTACCCTATGTAACCACTTGCGTGCTAGTGGCACTCCCGCCTTGCTTAGGGTGAAATGCTTTTTAAAAAAGATGTAGTTAAGGGCATAAAATTGCGTTCAAAATATTTCTGCATTAATTCACCCATCGAGGTGTTGATATGCTGTTAAACAAAATTGATCAACCAGTCAGCCAATCAACTGAAAGTTTATCGAAAAGAAACAAATAATAATGATTTCTTTAAATGAAACTATTCAAGTTAAATGCCGGAGAAAAGCGTGAACTCCAGCTGTCTAGACTAATAAACAATTACAAAATAAAAAAATTGACTGAGTTTCATAAATCTAATTACCTGTGCTTGTGTAAAGTTTGCAGTTTCAAAAAGCAGCCTGTCTCCATAATCTCGGTCCGATGCGAAACTGGAAGCTAAGAATACAGTATCACCGATTCTTGCGTTCTAAAATAGGAAAATATTTTTTTAAACTGGAATTATCAAACAATAAATACTAGGTGAAGTCCTGGTCTACACCTAGCAAAAGGCAAAAATTACGGCATCTAGTTTTATTAAGAGCAAAAACTGATTCGTTAATATTGATGACTGTCATTTCCATAAACCTCAGGTTCTGCAAAACTGATTCAATTATTAGTAGTACATATTAAACAGATATATATATATATATATATATATATATATATATATATATATTTAAAATTTTTTTTAGATACAATATTTTAGTAATTCTTTTATAATAAAAGTATTAAATTTTACTAAAAATGTATCTATTTATAATAAACACTTTGTCCATTTAAATAACGGAACATTTACTAAAATATATATATTATATATATATCTAGTTCAAAAAAAGCCACCCCAGAATGGGATGAACTTCACATGTTAAAATTTTCCATAAAAAATAAAAAAAGAGTTCTTAGATTCATTGAAAAAAATAATGGAATCAGTTATCAAATTTATACTTTGAGAAACTTTTGCAACCAATGTCAAAAATTTGTGCTGCTATAATCAAGGCTAAAGGAGGATATTTTGATGAGAGCAAAATTTAATCATAAAATGCTTTTTTTCATCTTTTTCTCATAATAAAATTTTTAATAAAAAACATGTCTCACTTTTTAACCATCTATATAAATAAATGCGAATGTTAGGGTGTCAGTGTATCACACATTTTCAACTTTATTCCTGGAGGCCATAGCACAACATATCATACCATTTTGGAATCAGGCCAACTCCATGAGCAAATTAAAAACATTTTGGGTTGGATCCGGACCCGCAATCCTGAACTTTTAGATTCCCAAGTTTTCATTATTGCGATTGTTTTAGGATTCCGCCATCTTAGCTTCTACTTAAAAAACAATTAAAGGGACACAACTCTCTAACTTTTAATAGCTCATGTTCAAATTAAAAAAAATTACTGTTCTCAAATTATAGTGTTTCAAAATAAAAATGTCCTTTTTTCCTAGAGACCTTATCCTAACATATACCATTTTGAAATTAAGCTGACTCCGTGAGCAAATTGAAAACATTCTGGGCCAAGAGTTCAACCGATCAGCCGGTCAGTCGGTCAGCCGATCGCCCGACTTCGGACTGAACTCTCTGCTTCCTCTTGAGGCGCAGTATTTATTACGTATGGAATAGTCCATTTGTTATTATGGGTAAGGTCACATATATATATATATATATATATATATATATATATATATATATATATATATATATATATATATATATATATATGTAGGAAGCACGGTAGAGTAATGTATAGCGGCTTGATTGAGGAATCGGACGGAGACCCGAGTTCAAATTCCAGTCGAATCCATTACATTCACTTACGTGCTAATACCCTTGGGAAAGGTGTGAATCTCCTCTTCTTCTCCCTCCAGCTATGGGTAAATAACAGGACAGACTGGGTTTTATAGCCTTGGATGGCAACTGGTCTAGGAGAAGAACAACTCTGAATTCAAAACCTGCGGACGGTCGTTTGGGGACCCTGTGGCACTTAGTCAATCAGGTCTCTGTATTCGGCCCTTCAAAAAGTGTGGATGGTCCTGCACGAAACCTTCACCACTATAATCAAATCTCGTGTGCTGTTGTCGGACTGTCGGTTTCCTGGGATTTGATCTGCGTGACCCTCATACGTCGAATTCAACGGGAGAGTCGAGTATATATATATATATATATATATATATATATAATACAGGTAATCGAAGCGTTGATATTTAATCCGGGTGGCTCTTAGTAATATTAATCATTAAACCTGATCCAAAAAGAGGGCTCCATATTTTTATTTTCACAGAGCAATTATAAAGCCACTCATTTCTGTAAAAAAGAGAACGAGAGAGAGATGAAGCCATCAGACTCCACAACAAGATTAGCGCTCCGCCTATCAGACGTTTCCTGGGTGGCAACTTTAGTTTTGGTTTAAATAGTTGTAAACGGATTCATTTCTATCTATAAAAGGCAGGATGTGTGTGTGTGTGTGTGTGTAACGAATGCGCGGCCGCAATTTTCGACGGATTTGCACCAAAATTTACATGCACATGCTCCAAGTTAGCGTGAAGGCCAAGACCGACTTTGTATTTCCCAACTCCCATCGATAGTGGAAATAATCGATTTTTCAGGCTTCTACTGCAGTTTTCATGTAGTTTGCGGCCATTTTCTACTGGCCAGAGTGAGAGCCTATAGCTGACTGACACGAATGCTAACTAGAATGCAAAAAAATCGATAGCTGCATTCGTCACAAATGGGAAAAATTTAAATCTGCATGGCACTTTACTTCAATTGGCTCATTCGCTTGCTTAAACTCAACGTTGATTCTGATTCCGCAGAACTGGGTTGGGTGTGAAAAAGTATTTGTTGTTAACATTCTTTTTTCATTCGGTTTTTCCAGTTACGAGTCCTTTTTTAAAGCTGATCGTTTTGTGTTCATTTTGTTTAGTTCTTTTTTCGTAACAGATTTAATGTTTAGTATAGAGCTTAGAAAAAATTCGCAGTGTGAGATAGGCAAGAAGTAAGGCATGTAGCAACATCAGCACGGCAAAGGGCACTCCTTTAAAGGCGAGGAAGGGCAAAAATATTTTAAGTTAAGTGATAGCGATTGCTGTATGAGTCGTACGATTTTTGAATCAAGCACGGCAACGCCGGGCCATGCTTCTAGTACAAAATAATTCGGAATAAGCATTGCATATTATGTTCTTATGTTCTCTCTTGAGTGGAATATTATATATATATATATATATATATATATATATATATATATATATATATATATATGAAGAAATATAGTCTTAAGGTGTGCTATATTTATGGGTTAAAGTACTCAATATCAGAGATAGAGCGTATGTAAATATAAAAGTGAACATAGAAGTCAACACTTAGAGGCGACAATGTTGACTTATATATTTTTATGTTATATATATATATATATATATATATATATATATATATATATATATATATTAGATAAAATATTAGAAAATTGGATATTTCATTATTCATGTGCGTGTGAAATGGACGAAAAAGGTTTCAATAAAATGCGGTGACATACCTCAGCGATGGTTTTGTAATAAACACGTTCTGTGAAATTAGGTGCGAATTCATTGGCTTCCTTCAGCGTAATGAACACTTCATATTGCACAGGCTGAAAGAAAAAGAAATCTTAAATGACGTGTCTCTATTAAATAATACAGGAATTAACAAAAACAAGGCAGGTACGACTTACTCTGGCCTTTTTTAGCTATTTATTTGGACGCTGAATCCAAAAATAAAGTCCATTTTAGTAGTTAGTTCCACATGTTGCTGTACAAAACTTAAGAATTAAAAAAATAATAATTACAATTTATAGCCATATTTCTTTTACTGTTCAAATTTGTCATTGAATTCGTGATTGCTCAAACACTTGACTTTTATATTATGACAATGCATAATAATACTAATAATAATGGCAGTATAATTAATAAATTATATAATTCTAAATTATGAATGGAAACATTATAACGTCCTTCAATAGATTGCATGATGATAATGTCACTGTAACTAGACAAAAGAGTGTTTGCTAACATTTTTTTTTTATATTTTTAATCAAGATCACTACAAGCAAGACAGCAACGCCGCAGAAAAGCAAGGGCTCACTGTGTATAGAAGAATTCGAAACAGAATTGCTAAGAAGCGAAAACAGAGGACGAAGACGATGCTTTCTCTTCCTCTTTCTCTCTATCGAACGTTCTACCTTCGGGCGGAGAGGAACCCGGACGAGGCTATGCCAAAGTGCAGAGTCTCGTTTCGGGAGGTAGACAAACCCGATCCCGTGTAGACGAGGTCTACGGGAAATTTTTCGTACCGACGTTAAAAAATAGCCTTGTGTCACATCTTGGCGTGTGCGGAGGTTGGTAAATAGAGAGAACAGGGGAAGAGTAATCAAAGGACAGTAAATAGCGACTGACATTGCATTTAAATTTTTGTAGATTATAGTTAGCTGAAAAACAGGAAGTGAGTTCCACAGGCGAGAAGTGCGAAAGAAGAAATTGTTAACATAGAATATGCGGTTACATCTAGCCAGCTCAACTGTAAATAGGTGAGACCTCGTCACCAGTCTTGTAGTTTGCTTAAATTCAAAGAGTCTTCGACCAGTAGCGGAGATCTCAGCCAAAAAATGACCATGAAAATATTTATAGAAAAAGGAAAGGTAGGTAACCTTACGGCGGTGAGAAAGTGACTGTAGCCGAGATGCCATCTCAGGACCATTAATATTGCTGATTCTTCTCTGGATTTTATCAAGAAACTCTAGCTAGATAGCAGAAGCATCAGACGATAGTTGGCACCAATATTCTAAGCATGGATGAATGGTAGACAGACTCAAGAGAAAAAATCGTCTCGTACAACACAGTGAACATCTTTGCAATTGACCTAGCAATGGATTATATATAGGTTATCCATTTTATATCAGCCAAGAACGTCAGCCCAAGAGGGCGCAGCGAGTCAGTCTCCTGGAGGTTAGCATCAGCCATATTGCTAGAACTTAAAATTCGATGAATCTGCTAAGTAAAATTGAAAATCAAATAAGCGAAAGTTCTTTCTCTGACTACCAATTGCTCTCAAAAATCGAATTTAATCACTTATTGTGTTATATGTATCTTTTTTATTTCAGGAATCTTGTATTATTTCACACTAAAATTATGTTTAAGCTTCAGTTAAGCATTTCTTTTTTCTTCATGTTTACAGCGAACTAACCCAATCATAGCCATTTTATACGTAGAATATGGGATTCTGGTTACATGGTTAAATGTAATTGAAGTTCTCAATAAACAATAAGAAGAGGAAAAACAGTCAAAAATAGTACGAGACTAACAATATATATATATATATATATATATATATATATATATATATATATATATATATATAACAGTTAAAAATATGTCTCCATCGCGATACAGAAATTACTGTTTCGAAGTTTAAATCTTACAATTTTAATCACCTGAAGAAGGCCAGAGCGTACAACGGCTGAAACGTTGTGAACATAGCAATGAAAATGAGGATAACAGTTCGAATAATGTAAATGATTTCCTTATAGTTTTTAGAATCTGGTAAATAGAAAATTATTCTTGTAAATAAACAATCTAATAAATAATTACATTATTTACATTTTTCGGACTATTGTCCTCATCTTTGTCGCCATGATTATTACAACGTTGTACGCTCCGGCCTTCTTCAGATGGTTGAAATGTCGAACTGAGCCCTTTATTTCGCTCAATGGGGTAGACTGTTCTAGTTCCACGTGCCATGTTTAATGGATGTTAGTTATCAGTTATCTCCTGTTAATTCCCCTCTGAAAGTTCTCCGCTGCCTTAACCGGGTATTGAATTCGCACTCTTTGGGTCCATTCACTGGATCTAACTAACGCCTTTATCCACTGTGCCATGTGTCCTTGAGGACATCTGTGTATGAATTTCTGGGTATTATAAACCTAATGTCTTCAGCAATCATTTTCACCAGTGCTCATATTGCAATTTTTGCTGTTATTATCGCTTTTCTCTGCCACTCATTATTACTGGTTCCCATATTGTATTCATTTCTATTCTTGGTCTGCTCAGAGGATTTTTGTGGCCTAGCATATGTGCTGATTCCTTAAGTTTACGAATTTTCCAATGGTGTTCTTTATGATCTCAACCTGATCCCACAGAGGGCGATGATATCCCTTCTCTCCATATGTGGTCAGTCACAGCTGATTTTTCCACCGCTAGTGTTACAGCTTTCTGGTGTTCTAGGAAAATTCGTAAACTTTTTCAAATTTATTTTTGTACCTTTTTGTTCTTTCTTGCCTTGAATTCAGAACGCTATAACCACTTGACTCTCTCCCTTTAGAATGTGACCACTATTTCATTTATTCATTTCATTAAATTTTTCTGCTTCATTTTTGTCTTATAGTTGTTTTGTTTTACGTTTAACTTGCATTATATATATATATATATATATATATATATATATATATATATATATATATATATAATAAATTAATTGTTTTAAAATATGTCTTTTCACTTTTACGAAATATTCCTTTTTGTTGGTATTAGGAATGTTCTTCAGAGAAATTCCGAAATTTATTTTCTCCATATTTTCTTTTTGTTAAAAATAAAGATTTAGAGTGCTCGACTTTGATTAGAAGCCAATGTATGTATATATAAATAAAAATAAAGAACAGTAATATATATAATCCGGTGTTCTTATAGATATTTATATTTTTACAAAATAGTGTTCAATGTAAATTTACAGAGCATTAATATTATAAATTAATTGATTTAAAATATAGTTTTTATATATATATATATATGTGTTTGTGTGTGTGTGTGTATAGTACCAGGCAAAAAATGGACGCACCTATAGAAATGATGATGAATAAAATATAAAGGTTTTTACACTTTTATTTACATTTTTTTAAAAATGGCTAAGCGTTGTTCTGACTTCAAGAAAGGCCAAGTCACCGCTTTTCATAGATCGATAACTGATAAGATTAATTGATGTGAGTCATGTGTCCGCAAGTTAATCAGAAAGAGAAATCAAGCTGGAATATTTAATAGACGTAGCGGATCTGGCCGACCGCCAAAAACTAGCGACAGGGAAGATAAAAACTTGGTTCGTCAATGCAAAAAAGATCGATTCGCAACAGCACAAGATGTTTCCAAAGCGGCTTGTAGTTTGATGGTTTCTTCAAGAACAGTCAGACACAGGCTTAAAGCAAAAGGCATTGTTTCTAGATACATAAAAAAAAAGAAACCTTTCGTATCTGGAAAAAATCGGCGAGCATAGTTGGCTTGGTGCAAAGCTCATATACCTTGGACTAAATCTGTTTGGGAAGATGTTATGTGGAGTGACAAAAGCCCTTTTACTCTTAGATATGGAGGACGAATACGTGTTTGGTGTACGCCCAGTGAAACGAATACTCCAGTGACGACTAATGACACTGTTAAACACAATTTTAAAAATAATCAACGTTTGCGGTGCATTCTCAGCAGCAGGAGTTATTATACAAAATCAAGGAAAACATCAGCAGCATCAACACCACAACATGCAACGAATTCTATTACTAACTTGTCTTGGTAAAAATACAAAAAATCGACTTTCTATGGGTGCGTCCGTTTTTTGCCTCGTACTGTATATATATATATATATATATATATATATATATTCCAGAGTTCGAATATATATATATATATATATATATATATATATATATATTCCAGAGTTCGAATTGCAGTCGATACCATTACATTCACTTACGTGCTAATACCCTTGGGAAAGGTATGAATCCTCTTCTTCTCCCTCCAGCTATGGGTAAAACAACAGGACAGACTGGGTTCTATAGCCTTGGGTGGCAACTGGTCTAGGAGAAGAACAACTCTGAATTCAAAACCTGCAGAGGGTCGTTTGGGAGCCTTGTGGCATTCGGTGCACAAGGTCTCTGTATTCGTCCCTTCAAAAAGTGTGCATGGTCCTGCACGAGGCCTTCACCACTATAATCAAATCTCATGTGTCGGTTTCGGGCTGTCGGTTTCCTGAAACTGATCTGCTTGACCCTCATACGTCGAAATCGGCGGGAGAGTCGACTACATATATATATATATATATATATATATATATATATATATATATATATGAGTTAAAGATGAATTTCAGATCAAATAGGGATCGGAATCCGACAGGATGATAAAATAAAAAAAAATAGGAAACGTTTATCAATCTAACATGTTTCACTTTTATTAAAGTTTCTTTGGAGATTGAGAGTAAACAGACAAAAAGACAGAAACTCTGGTATTACTCTACTGCACTGGCTGACCGCACATAGTTGAACACATTAGAACTCTCACAAGACAAACATACATAAACAATCAAGAATACACATTAGCATCCGACGCCCGCTTAGACATACAAGAATCTTCACAAACTTACAAACATATAGAATTATCTATGGTTTTAATGCACGTGATGCGTGATTGACCAATGAGGACTGATCCAAACAAAATGGAAATATCAGACTGTTTTCTCTCAATTTCTGACGAAGCTTTAGTAAAAGTAAAACATTTTTCCTATTTGTCATTTATTTTATCATATATATATATATATATATATATATATATATATATATAGAGAGAGAGAGAGAGAGAGAGAGAGAATGTATTCCAATGGAAGGACATAAGGTCATTTTATTGAAATTTTAAAATTACTCTTATTAATATTTAATCTCACTTTCTCTTTTAATATTCTATAATTAGAATTGTGAAATTGAATATTTATCATCTGGAGGTATTTTCATTTTAAATTGATAATTTAACTTAAATTTAAATATACCAATCTTTAACTATCAATATTGATAGTAAGATATTAAATTAGAAATATTTGTTTGGATATTTAAACACTTCAGTTGTCACCTAACGTTAAACATTAACTATGAAATTAAACAAAAATCTAAATAAATTCAAATATAAAAATATATGTAATTATTTGTAAATGTATGTGTATGTAATTTATGTATAAATATGTATAGGTACCTGTGTATATCGTTACATGTGTGTATATATGGGATTTGCATGAATATGTATGTGATATATATGAGAAGAAAGCAAAATCTTTAATATTACCCTCAAATATTACTCTATTTTAATTCTAAACCTAAACATTAAGTAAGAAAGATAAAAAAAAATTATAAAAATAATTACAAATTACATTCATAAATAAGATTCAAACTGATAAAGATGTTACCGTAACTGTTTTTTACAATATTAAAAAAGTACGATTGGTCAAGTAAACAAACTGTTATAATTTAAAAAATTTTAATATGTTCTCTATAAATGTGTTAATAAATATAGTATTTAACTTATATTAAATCCCTAAACTATTTTAAAAAAATTAAATATTTAAATTGATAGCAAGCATCATTTCTTCGGGGTTTTTTAGACATCTAAATTACTATCAAGCTTTAAAATCTATTCTTTACATAAATTGCTAAAACCCAATTACAGTTTCTTTCTCTTTACTTCCCTCTCCCTCTTCTTTCTTTTTCCTTTTTCTTTTCTTTTCTCCTTTCTCCCTTCCCATTTCAATATATCACTTCCGTTAAGTTAACCGTCTAAATAGGTCATCGTCTGGTCACTCCTCCTCCCCCAATACAAAGTATACTTGAGAGAGATATGAAATTAATCCCTCCCTATACTCTACCATGTCTCTTTAACTACACCTTTTACACTCTCTGTTAAATTACAAAAACTTACACTACCCATCAATTTTAATTTCATTTTTCGTTTTATTTCATTTTTGGAAGTGCTATCTGATGATCCGGCGTCCTTTAAAAGGGCTCTGGTCAAATAAATTATCATGGTACCTTAAAGTGATCTGTTTTTTTTAATTTATATATATATATATATATATATATATATATATATATATATATATATATAATAATATTTTTTGTTTAAAAATAAACAAAAAATATTATAATATAAGCTCTACTTCTGTATGGAGCACTGTCTTCTTAAAATAAAAAAAAAAAAATACCAAGGAACTCCGGATTATGCACCCAACGTGTTTCTTTTCTATTTTCTGCATACTTGCACTTATATATATATATATATATATATATATATATATATATATATATATATATATATATATATATATATATATATATATATATATATATATATATTGTTTTTCTCGTAATATTTTTGGTCTGCTCTTTTTTTTTATCTTATTGTTTATTGAGAACTTTGTCAATTCCGCTTGGTGAGAATTTTGGCAATTATTCTTTATGCCTGAATTGTTCTACAAAAAACAATAGCCACTTACTCCCAGAAGCGACATGACACTGAAAACTCCTTATTGTGAACAAAATATTACAACCAAAAACGCTTCCGACTCACCGAGGTATTGCTAGATTTACACTGTAACGTCACTTTCATATTTTCTCCTTTTCCCTATAAAAAATAAAAATAATAATTATTGCCAGCATAGTCATGAAATTCAAGAAAATTACAAAAAATCAGTGCAGTAATTCACATATGTGATATAATGTTTGTTGATGTATTTATTTTCTTACTCGCTACTCTAATGTAACTGTGAAGACTAAAATTGCATCTAAATTAAAATTAAAATTAGTAAAGTCTCTTTTGTTGCATACGTATTACTTTAACATTTTTTAATCGATATCGCCCCATGCAAGGCAATAAAGCCACTAAGACACAAGGGAGTTACAGGATGTTGGAGAATTAGGAACAGAAGCATTAATAACGAGCGGAAAGTGGAAAAGGTGATCAGGAAGACATTAGACAGCGATTGACATTGCATTTAAATTGTTGTAGATTAAAATTGGTTGGAAATCATGGAGCTGGAAGTGATTTCTACAAACGAGGAAAGAAACCGCATAGAATTTACGGCTACATTTAACCAGCTCAACTATAAATTGGTGAGATTTCGTCACTAGTTTAGTACTGCGTTTAAATTCATGAATTCTAAGTACCATAGCGAATATCTCATCTGAACAATTTATAGAAAAGTCACAGAAAGGCAACCCTATGGCGATGGAAAACTGACTGAATCCGAGACGCCATATTAGTTATTTGAAGTAAGTAAGAATTCTGTTGTATCGTGAAATCAATAAGTCGATACACATATAAAAAGTAGTAGTAATTTATTCCAAAAATAATACGGTACTAACAGTCGAGAACACAGTCTACTGGAATAATAGTTAATCATGAACTTCACCTCAGTTCTGTTCAGCTTCGGTATTTACCCGCATACATGGAAACGGGTGTCTGTCTACCTCTCCATACGAGACTCTGCCCTTCGGCATAGCCTCATCTGGAGGCAGAGAAGAAGTTCTGTTCAACATCGGTATTTATCCGAAGCATCCCCACAAGGCGGCATGTGGCACAAGACAGATTTTTAACGTGGGGCGTTCCGAGCCCGTAGACTTGAGCAAAAATTCCCCTAGGCCTTGTATACACGGGGTCGGATTTGTCTACCTCCCCAGACGAGACTCTGCCCTTCGGCCTAACCTCGATCATTCCGAGCGTGTACGCTCTGGCAAAAATTCCCCGTAGACCCTGTATATATAGGTTGGGTGGTTGTGTACCTTCCTAGACGAGACTCTGCCCTTCGGCATAGCCTCATCTGGGTTCCTCCCTCTCCGCCCGGAGACAGACAGGTCGACAAGACGTTCTGTTCAACTTCCACTCTCTGCTATTTATCTTTTTAGATCAGTCTATCTTGGGGCCGGGATGATCCACATCAAATTCCTATTTGGGCGAGATATACAACACATACTGGTAGATATAAATAATAAAAACCGCATTATTTTAGACAATAAATAATTTTAGACAATAAAATCCAACCTTTAGTTCTTCATAATCCAATTTTTTTGCAGCAATGAGATAAAAAGAGGTGTTTCCTTTCGTCAAATCGAAATAACCAATTGGAACCTCTTTTAAAATATTCCACGTTTCGCTTTGCGTATATTTTATTTTCAGGAGCATTGTACCTTGATGGACGATAAAAGAAATTAGTTCAAATGTAAATATTGTAAATAATGATAATTCCTCATTACAAAGATTCAGAGTTTTATACACAGTTGCTTTGAGAATTATTCACAACTCTCCCATACTTATGAATGAAGTTGTTACCCCATAAATTTTCATGGAAAAATGCGTGCATTTTTCACAAATGATGAAATGATGCATTTCAAAGAATGTGGATTTATACTTAGAACAAAACTTTATTTTAATATCAATCAATAATACCAAAAAACATCGAAGAAACATGTAAAAAAACAAATAGTCCTCAATAATAGAGTTGTAACCTTTATTCTAGATTATGTTCGTTTATTCTTTTGATCACTATACACACGTTCAGTGTGTATAGTGATCAAAAAGAATAAAAGGACATAAGTGGTGTAATGATTAACAAACTTGTCTCCCTAGATCAATTACGACAGAGTAGTGAGTTCGATCCTCACTGTGTTCCCTATCATTTCGGTCTTGTGCAACATTTAAGCCCCACTTAGAAAATCGCCAATAGGCAAACTGTCAGATATTTTGTTTCATATTCCTTTGGTAATATCTTCAAGTTCCTCCAAATTCGAAGTATTTCTTTGTCCCGCTTTTTTCTACAAATAGGCGCATAAATTGTCAATGGGCTTTAGGTCAGGTCTTTGCACGGGTTACACTAATACGTTAGTTGTGTTGTCCCAATTCGTAACAATTCGTGCCGTGTATTTCAGATCTTTGTTACATTGGAAAGTCCAGTGGATCCCCCAAAACACCGTTGTGCACTTTGATTCAGAATATTTTTAAGAATATCCAAATGCTGCTCTTTACCCATGATACCCCTTAGTCTCAATAATTCTCCTTGTACAGAAGGAGCGAAACATCCCCAAATCATAATGCTCTCGCAACCGGGATTAATTGTAGCGAGGGAATATTTGGGAGCTTCATTCGATGTCCTTCATACATACCGGCAATTCATGGGACAAGATAATTTGAGTTTAATCTCATATGTGCTGAAGACATCCTATATTCAATCCTATGTTCTAAACAGCTTCTAGAATAAACTGATCTGCTTTTTAGATGTTTAGCTTTTAACTTTCCTTGGGTGACGAGTTGGAATCTCTGCTCGATCAAGTGAATCCCTTCGACGATACATTCAACCCTTTTGACAGCATGTCATTGACAATGACCTTTGGCGTTAAGTTATTCTTTGAGACATCCTAACAGCTTTCTTTTCCGTGCTCTCAGAAATTAACCGTTTTCTGCCAGTTCTTAATTTATTTTAAACACTCTCAATCTCGTATTTTTTGATAACGTGCCGAATTGTCGATCTCAGTCAGTTATGTGCCAGGCGTGATACACACTTAGGCGATCATGTATCTTTTGATACATTTCTGACGGGGCAGATTTTTTCCTGAAGTAGGTTGCCATTTCTTTCTGTAGTAGACCAGTTGCCACCCAAAGCTATAGAACCTGGTCTGTCCTGCTATTTACCCATAGTTGGGCGGGGAGAAGATTCATACCTTTCCCAAGGGTATTAGCACGTAAGTGAACGTAATAGAGTCAACTAGAACAGTCTACCGCAGTGAGCGAAATAAAGGATTCAGTTCGACATTCCAAGTACCTGAAGAAGGCCGGAGCGTACAACGGCTGAAACGTTGTAATAAATATGGCTACAAAGATGAGGACAATAGTCCGAATAATGTAAATAGTTATATAATACCTCATCTCAGAAATATAGATAAGTAATTAAATTTTGCTTTAGCATTCCCAAGGATTAATGGAACTTTTCATATAAAGGGATTTATGAAGAATCTGCTTTTTTTTTTTTTTAGAGAGAAAAAATTTACTCAAACTTTTATTAAGGCAAAATTAGTCTTGACATTTGAAAATAATAAATTCTTCTGAAATAAACATTTATTTTAAAGACATTTCATTGTATATTTAAGCGGTAGAGTTTTCATTTCTCTTTTTAGAGAGACCCATAATGACTGATTTAAATCCGTCGAGGAATGCAAAAGGTAAAGGATTATCCACTCCTTCTTAAAGATTAAAGAATTTAGCATCCAGTTTAAAATATCAAATGATAAAGATTTGACTTAAATACGGAATCCATGTGCTTGGTGTCTCTAGCTTTATAAAAATAAAAAAATTTTAAATATAAAAATAATTCATAAATTGCTCTTCTGCTAACTTGGCTACCTTCCAAGGCGTATCAATGCGCCTGGGCACACCTGGCTACCTTCCAAGATGTAATTATGCACCTGGTCACACCTGGATATCTTCCAAGGTGTATCAATGCGCCTGGGCACACCTGGATATCTTCCAAGGTGTATCAATGCGCCTGGGCACACCTGAATATCTTCCAAGGTGCATTAATACGCCCTGTTGAGAAATACTCTTTGAGAGCGTTATAGGATCAGATTAATACTATTCCATTTTCAAAGATTGCTTTTATTAAATGTCAAATAAATAAAAAAAAAAAAAACATTACAATTACGAGAAGCAATATTATTTCGTAATTTCCATAAAGAGGGGGTTAATAATTCTGGAATGCACCAATTTCTAGAAACATTTATGAATATAGATCGAAACTTCTGAAAAAATTATTTGTAGTTATTCGCATTTCCTTAGAATATATACATTCAGTGGGAGGGACTAAATCTGACACCAATTGTATTTGTCTTTTCAAAAATGTGTTTAAGATAATAATAATAATAATAATAATAATAATAATAATAATTGCTATTCTTGATTTAAAATATAGCGTTCTTTATATGAGACCGTCCTGGATATGATGACAAACTACATCCGCCTCCTGGGTAAGACGATAAACTACGTCCAACAGCAAGGCCTCTGATAAGGAGTCTGTGCGGAGCGTGGAACCACCTCCTAATTGCTGGTGTTCACAGGGCCACTCTGACCCGGGGTGGTAGCACCTGTTAGGGTCCCAGCTATGGGCATATAATTAACCCCGAAACTGAGGTAAAAAGCATTATGAAAGTGTAAAAATGGGTTTTAATACCAGAAATACATTGTAAAAAAATTATTACCAGAAATAAATTTTTGAAAAAAAAAACTATTACCAGCAATACATTTTTAAAGTAATAATATTACCAGCTATACATTTTTGAGTAAAAAAAATATTACCAGAAATAGATTTTTGACAAAACAAAAATATTACCAGGAAAAAAAGTTGTCGATATTAAATGACCCATTGAGGTCGATATGCTGTAAAACAAAACAAACAAACAAACAAATTTTATATGAGAACTTTTCCAAACAGAACAAAATTTACCTTTGGGAACATTTTCTTTCACGCTGTTTGGCAGGTCTGGTTTTTGACACGTGTTACACCGCGAAGCTGTAAAACAAAAAGAACAAGAGCGCTCAGTATGATACGAAATGTAATTCGTTTAATTTTTTCTTGTTTTCAAACGTGGCAAAAAAAAAAACAAAAAAAAACTGCAATCAATTCAGTGCCATCCATGATACCTGTCTGGGCGATCATGTCTCTTTTGATTCATGATTGGCTAGGCAGAAGATTTTCTCGCAGAAGGTTGCCGTTTTTTCTGTGGTAGACTTGATGCCAACCAAGGCTATAGGACACTCTGCCCTGCTATTTAACCCATAGCTAGAAGGAGAAGAGATGGATTCATGCCTTTCGCAAGGCTATTTGTGCGTAAGTAAATGTAACGAATCCAACTGAAATTCGAACTTGGTTCTCCGATTTCACGTTCCAAACTTTAGGACTAAAAAAAAAAAGAAAAAAAAACGATCCTTTATCAGCCCCCGGTCACAAATCCTAATACTGTAATAGTTTTGTATCAAAGGTTGGAAGTCTTCATTATGGTAGAAAAATATTATAGTCTAATGTATTAGGTTTGGTAATACGCCTATTTATTTGGATATCATGCATTAATGGGTTAACAGCCAAAGAATCCCCAAAGAGGATGAAATAGAAAGCTTGAAGAATGACGAAACGGAATCTCGAAGGAAGACGAAATTGGCACAAATGGATAAATTCTAAGAAAGATTCTTTAATAAGCAACTTGAAAAGGCTAAACATTAATCCACTCCATGGATTATCTCAACGGAGGGACAATTTCCCAAATTCTGGATATGAGATTTGAAATCTGATTTTTTATTATATTACGTTCAGTCAAAAGTAATTGTAATGATGAAAGTATCATCCGCTCCCTAAATATATGATAACAGATGATGAAAAGTGGGTTGCATACAACAATGTCCGATGCAAAAGGCAGTGGATCGACAAAGGGCAAATCTCCACAACCAACCGCAAAATCTATGGAATATCTTCTTTTTTTTTGCGTATGATGGGATACCACTGAATATAAAACTCGACATGACTGAGTGGACCAATATCTGCATTTGAAAATATGCAACTTTTATGCGGAGGAATTGGTATGAAAACCACCCAGATTCGGTTACAGACAGGATCTATAACAATTTTATGGGATTTTACAATAAACATAGAACAATCAAAGCTGATCGCCCAGATATCGTGATTAGAGACCGCAAAAAAACAAAATGTAGAATGCAATGTATCTTTATATGAAGACATCTTTTAAAAAATAATAATGTGGTTGGAGCGCGGGGTTAAACTCATTGAAGGGTTAGGGTTAGTTCATGCCTTAAAGAAATACAAAAGATTGTTCTCACAAGCAGAGCTCACATTTTACGATGTATGGGATATTAGATGGCTTTATTTTAATTTTTTTTTTTTTTTTACAAATATATTTAATGAAAAATGTCATAATAACATTACTGTCCATATGTCTCTGGTTGGGACCCGGAAGGAAATGAGCATACAACAAAAAGCAAAAGAAATAATAATAATAATAATAATAATAATAATAATAATAATAATAAGAAGAAGAAGAAGAAGAAGAAGAAGAAGGGGAGGGTGAGGAGGGACAGAAAGAGAAGAAGGAGATTTTACCTGATGGAAAAACAAAAATGAGCAGAGTGAGAGCGAACCAGGTCCTCATGAGGCGACGATTTCTTGTCGACGTCATTTTGTTCGCCATGGAAAATTTGCTGAATAAAATAAAGAAAACATATTTATGTTAGATTAGATTATTCAACTTAACAACTCAATTTAATATTTATTGGATTATTTAATGGCGACTATATAACTTTCAGGAAAGAAAATCATAATGAATGAATACATGGTTAAGCAATAGTACGGTTTACAGAAGAGCAAAAGAAAATGACATATGACTGATTTATATTAAGAAAATGACATATGACTAATTTACATTAAATTCAAAAAGATAAACATAGATCTTGTTTACACAAGAATCAGAAAGATATACTTAGAGTTATGACTTTTATGTAACATTATGTTACCGTGTTAAATATCAATGAAATTTTGTTCAAAAGTAATGAATAAGACATTAACCTGTCTTAGTTCTTGAAAAAGTTCACTCCAAACTGAAAATTCGAATTTACCATATACGCAAAAAGGGTAAAAAATTGAAATATTTCAGAAGTTTTATTTGTCAATTTGTTAGTAATGTAATTGGATAGTACTCGTGTATTTTAACGCATTTAACTGAAAATTTGATCTCATGTCAAGCGAATATGTTGGTCAGATCATTAGTCTAAATTCTCTATATTGCTAACCCATCCTACGCGAACACACCGTTATGGAAGCACCTCGAGCGTGCAGGATACCTTGTTAGCAATTTGGCTCCATAACCTCTGCGCCACACCCGAAACCTGTCATTAGTCCCAAACCACTGAAACTGTGACTCGTCGAACTACAAAACAAAATTCAGGTTTCAATTAGTGAGGTCACGAGCCCAGGTGAGTCCGGTGTTGTGATGGTAACAGAGGCATTCTGGTGGGGTATTCTGCTCTCATATCGCATAAAAACTAAAGAACTACCATGATAGATATGCACCTGATACCTCTTGCATTGGATGGCGATATAATTTGGCCGGTGTTGTTTGTCGATTATCGCTGACGATTTTCTAACCAGATGCCTCTGGTGACAGTCACTTCCGGTATAAACAGGAAGTGAAACCAACTGAACTTAGGCCATGAACACTCAAGAAAACCGAATGATAATAATTTATATAAACGCCGAAATAACAAGGAGGACAAGAAAATTCCTCGCATCAAACGTTCGAAAGAAAGACTCGAAACCACATACATTTGATTCAGCTGAAGTTACTTTGTTGGGTACGGCATTGAAGGAATTATTTCACATATAAAAAGTCTGGTCTTGTATTCTTATCAAAATTGAATAATTTGTTTTTTACGGTTTATCAAGCTTTTACAAGTTATTTACAGTCAAGAAATAATTTCTTATTGTAAGAAATTTTTGAAGATAATAATGATTTTGCTGATATAAGTCTTGCCATATCTGGAGGGGAAGAAGTGGATTCATACCTTTCACGATGGTATTTGTATGTAAGTTAATATAATTGTAATGTTGGAACACGACTCTCCTATTTCCAACTCCTCGACGTCATTCCTCACACAAACCTCACGTCCAAGCTTACAGCCCCTGGTATTCCCAAGTGGTCACCCATCTATGTGCAACAGGCTCGTTGTTGCTTAACTACGGTGATCATACAGGAACCGGTATTTCAACGTGATATGGCAGTAAGCCGTATTCGTATAAGACATCGCTGACATAACATTACCCAATTAATGGGCTTTTATAGATGTCTTGCTAACCATTGCTCTGTAACGACGCGCAAATATACAATGAATTCGTTACAATGACCTTATTCTGTTCAGTAAAATAATTCGGATACTAACTTGTCCAGTTTGAAACTTGATGTTAAATGTCAGTAACTTATCTGTGTTTGTGTACTTCATTCATTATTAAATTAGTGATAGGATATTAGCTCAAAAAACGCCTATTATACGAAGGCAATTAGCGCTTGAAATTATTTTGTCGAGTCTCGTATATTAACAAAAGGCACGCGAACAAGCTTTTTTCTAGTAAGATTAATAGATTTTTTTCTTTTTCTTTCTTTGTTTATTTCCTTAATTTTACAGCTGTTGTTTTCCCTAGCGGGAGAAATGATTATCGCTCATTTACAATATTCAACAGCAACCTGTTTTGCTGTTGTCCTTGGAATGAAGCCATGGATTGATTTACTCGAAAGAACAGAAAAAAATGACAGTCCTGAAAGCGCGTGTAAATAACAAAGGTCATTCTACAGGCATTACTACTCAATCTGACAATGATTTTAATTCATACAGAGAAAGAAAAAAATGGCAATAATTACGTTTCCATAAATTAAACATGTAAACAAACAAATCAGAGCTCGTTTTCAAATGCAGACACGAGAACAAATTCCTTCTGCGTTACCTACAAACACATCATGACCTAAAAAGATTAAACAAAGTAAAATTCCATAATCTAATTCCAATAAACTTTATTCAAAATACCAAAACATAGAAACAAAAAATACTCGAAAGAAAAAATATACGAAATAGATGAATAATATAAATGAATGAAACGACAAATAATGTATGTGTATGTATATATGTGTATCTGTGTATGTGTGTGTGTGGTTTAAAACCAAACAAATAACAACGGCTCTTATACATATACAGAGTGCGATGAGTAAATTATCGCCATTTCATATTTTTAATTTCGCGTATGCGCGTTGTTTGTTTTTTATTTTGTCGACTGCACAGTATCATAGGGTCAGTTGGGCACCGTCTGTGAAAAAAAAGAGCACCATGGCGCAATTCCCTCCGCCATAAATTTGGAAAAGACATGCTGTACTGCTTGGCATTCGCGCCGAAGCCTCCAATACGAACATTTTAAAGAGTTTAGCTGTCAATCTGAGGACAATGCAAAGGATTGGGGAAGAGTTGGATGAGTCTAATGGTGATTATGAAGCTGTTTGGAGTGATCATTAGTGATGGCGATGTTATGCCGCCATTCATCTTCCCACAGTGCCTCACGCTGAACACGGAGGCCTACATCAAATGCCTTGAGGAAGTAGTGCTGCTCTGGGACAATAGGGTGGCTGTGAGAAGAAACAGTGTCTGGCAACAGGACTCTGCACCATGCTACCCAATCTAGCTTACATGTGGCCCGATAGGGCGACTTTTAAGTTAATATATATATATTGGGAATATATTGCAGTGGCAAGTTTTAAACCGAAGCTGAGGGCTTCTTGTTCTCGCAAGGATGACATAATAGACGCTATATTAAAAAGTCATAAGTAAAATGAGTCCGATTTCACCAAAGATTTCATTCAAGAGACTATGCTACTATAGAAACCAACAACATCATCGTTTGATGGCACAATGGTTTAGTAATAATGTGCTTGTGCCATGCATCTTGTCCATATAAAATTTGTAAAGCTTCAATAAATTATACATTTTATAAGGCTGTACTATAAGACTTTCACTGATCATTGGAATGAAATTCCAACGCTATGATTTTTAACCTAAACTTAATCTTTAAACTTGTTTCCTCAAAAACTGTTACGATTTGGAAAAAATATTTTATGTCGTTATTTATCATGTGAAACCCTAACTTTCAAATATAACAATTACAAAGTCGATCTGCCATATTGTTTAACGGTGATTTATATGAACAACATAAGATGATTTTGGAAGTCAAGGGATACTTTATATGAATATTACAAGAATATCAACACTTGATATTTCTTTTAGACTGTTTACCAACCGAGGCTCTAGAGAGTGCACGCTATCCTACTATTTAACGGGGGGGGGGATTAAAACGGTTTTTTTTTCAAGGGCATTTATGCGAACGATAGACTAGTTTAAAAATTGAACTCGGATCCTAATAACCGTTACACAACTCGACATCCTATAAAATAATACCATATACTTGCAAGACGAAGCGATCATGACTCTCCACAGCATCCTTTTCTCTATCATCTATTATTATTACATAAATTGTTTGGAAAAGATAGTGGAATTGTTTCTCGTTGCCTTCTCCACGGTTTGGAATTCAGAGATTTGCTTTCCACCCAAGGCTAGAGAGCCTAGTTTACCCTATTACTTAACCCGCAGATGGGATCCATGCCCAGTATTTGAACTCGGTTCAGCGATTCCATTTTCTGTATCTGTATCCATTACACTATTACCTTACTATTCAGACAATAAACATGAAATATAAACGACTAAGTCGTCCAGTCAAACCAGTCACAGATTACAAGAGATGCGAGAGAGAAATAAATTTTCCATTTTAACGAGATGTGGTCTGAGGCAGCGGGGAAAAAAATTACCTGAGTCATAAAGCAGAATATGTTTGCCTTCAGGTAAATAACAATTAGAAAGACAAAGTAAAGCCAATTGTCACCAGTTTCAAATAAAAGACATCTAACTCATCGGGGTTAGACAAAAGAAAAGCAACATTACGAAGGCACACCTTGATCAAGGAGTGTCGTCTGCGTCATTGAAATTTATTCGCTCTGAACGCTTTTACAGGTCGTGCCCCTCCATGTGTGTGCATGCATTTATATACGTCTCTACTCAATGTACGTGTGTCAGCGTCTATATTTATACGAGATTTGATCAGAAATATATCCAAACTGTTGCTATGGTAACGGAGCTAAAGTGAAGCCGATTGACCTTAAACCCTGTCGCCCAGTAATAGTAAGTTATAAATTTCTCGCTCACTTTTGTTGTTTATAGCAATGCTTGGAAGGTAAGTGTGTAGAGGTTCCATCAAAGACAATGACTTGTGCAGCAGTTTTGTGTGAAGGACAACATTCTCTAGGTTCGACAACCACAATATTCTCCATATCTCGCTCCTTGCGAATCCCGCTTTCCAAAAATCAAATCCCATTTGAATGAAACAATGATAACAACAAAGATGGCGACAATAGTCGGCCTGTAAATAATGGATTCTCCATAATCCTACCTGATGAAAATGACAATGTTTGGCATCCATTAAAAATGGAGAATCTAACTACAAACCAGGACTGAGAAAAGATTATGTGTTGTATTGGTTATGCTGGGGTATGGATGGCGTCATCTATTATTAAGTGCTAAACCAAAATGAAACAGGACGTCGAGGAACTCAAAGAGCGTTACGACAGGGCAGATGTTTGCTATCCCCCCCCCAAAAAAAAACAAACGGAAACGACCCTGGATAAAGTGTGTGGTTTCAGAAGGGCACTACTTCAAACGAGATTAAATGCCGAATTGATATGTATCATAGTTTTCTTTTTATAGCATCAGTACGGATACATTTTTATCAGACCTCGTATATGTGTGTCAACTTGAGATTGTCTCTATGAATGCACACCACGCCCATATATGTGTGATGTTTATTTGCCTTTTTGTGTGTGCGTGCGTGCGTACACGGACGTCGGTGTGGTGAGTAGGTGATAATGAGTCGCGTGTGTGCGCTAATGTATATACATTCATAACCATTTCCTGTGTGGAAGGTCGGTGACTTTGGTAGCCTCGGTGGGCATGTTTATACAGGTGTGTGTTGTGTTGAGGTGGAGACACACTAATATACTTACATATTTAATTGTTTCTTTACCGGAAGATCTAAATTGCCACAATTAAGATTTTTGCGCTGTTCTACTCAACAGATTACTGATTAAGGAGCAGTGAAATTCTATCCGCACTCAACAATATGTGAACGAATGTATGTATGCATATCTATCTATGTATCTATTTATCTATCTATTAAAAATGTCATTATGGCGCCGAATAAATCCATTACATTCTCGTTCGACGATTAATGATAATGATTGATACGTTATTCATATTATGAATACCATGGTGTCAGCATATAATTTTAAAGATATAAATCGTCTAAGATAGATAGATAGATAGATAGATAGATAGATAGATATGAACAGACTGCGATAGATTTGTACAATCCTTAATAGATAGATAGATTACAGCCGATGGATGGTAACGTCATTGTATATTTACATACGCTCTATACTTGATATTGAGCACTTAAATCCATAAATATAGCATACCTTAAAACTATATTTCATCATATATATATATATATATATATATATATATATATATATTACTCTAAAAGTTATTTTAGTGGATAGCTCTTAGTCGACGCCCTGTTTTCTTTCCTTCCACCCCACCCATAACCGTCTGAATTAGATTTAGTGGCTTTTTTTTTTTTTGCATGGTGTGTTTTATACTAGTCGGAGAACACAAGTTGTTTATTAAGCCTCCTGAATATGCAAACCGCCAGCCTTGATTCACACTCTTGAGAACAAACGGCGTTTACTGGAACACGAAAACTTAGAGAATTAAAACATAATATCAGATAAAAAAAAAATCATTTATTGCACACACACCCATTTGTCGGTGTCATAGAAAAAAGTTTTTATTCTCTTCATCTTGGCATTTGGAGACCGTTACATTTCAAATTTAAATAAACCTTTCATCATATGTTGAATTTTGTATAGGCACCTAGTGAGGTTCGATCTCATTACTCGGCACTAGCGATCAGTCATACTTGACAGCACCGGAAGACGAACATATTATTAAATATATATATATATATCTGTAATCTGGGATCATAGTCATTGTGAAATCCACTATCCTTTCATTAGCCACGTATGTGCTTCTCCAGGGTTATATGCCGTTTTTGAATTCAAAGCTGTCCTTCTACTAG